TGAAATGACCTACATTGAAATAGAATCCATCATACTGGCAGCCACAGCTTTCCACAGGGACACAGCTTGATCCACTCCTGGAAAAACCTTCATCACAGAAACATCCCTCAGAGCAAACATGGTCACAGGCAGCATCGATGCTGCTGGCACAGGTGTTGCCACAGTCTGTTCCACACAGCTCATAATGACTGTTGGCTGGGCACTCAATACCTTTACACATGAGGGAAAACAGATTGAAGAGAGTTCAAACTTTTGAGGAACATGCTTGTTTGATGGATTACTTTAATAGCACACTGCCTTCCATACTCACTGCAAGTGGTGCTTTGCCTCCAAGGGTAGATTCGGACATTAGCAGACTGACAGGCACTGACGTATGTCTCAATAGCCCTGCATAAAAGATCACTGCCTTGACTTCCCAACACGCAGACATCGAAGACGCAGTCACTGAAATATGGTGCTGGATCCACCTCCTCGTGGCAGAAGCTGAAGGGGCTGTCAGCTGCCTGAATCACCTCACACTGAGCCCTGGCAGATCGATCATCGTTGCATTGTGGACATGAAGAGCCACAGCCGTCACTACAGGTGTAGTTCCCAGGAACCTTCCAAGCTGCTCCAAAAGCATCTGCTGAGTTGGACAATGATCCATTTGGGGTGTGGAAGTCATCATTTGGATTTCCATTGAAGTTTCCACAAAGTCCACACATGTTTTCTCTGATGAAGATAAGATAATTTTGAACACTTAATGACAATGAAACAGACAATGATGATATGCTGTTTTTAAAGTTCTAAAAAGGCATTAATTCGATAACTATAGAATTGAAGAAAAATTATATTTAAATTAAAGCTGTAGTGAAGAGTACATAGGTTACCTGTAGCTTGGGGGGACAGAAATGGACACTGTGCTACTTCCATCGTACATGACACTCAGTCCAAACTCTGCATTGACAAATGTTTGAGATCCACTTCCAAAAATTGACAGGCTTCCATTGAGGACAATTGGAAGATTTCTTGTGATTCCATTCACCTGTGAAGAAGAAAAGTATTTCATGGAAGAAGCACAACTGATGTTTTTACACTAGTACTGATGCAGATATTAAGAGCTGAACAGTTTTTTGGTAATATGCCAAGAAGAAATCTTTCAGCTTTTAAAAGTTTATGCAAAAGTAATTTCCAATCAACTTCAGACAATTTGAAACATATTGAGAAATCTATCAGACAAAATTCCCTTACCTCCACAGTTCCCCTGTTGCCTCTCGACATGCGCACTTGATAGCCCACGACATCAACAACAACTTCAGCCGTGATAGAAACTGGCAGTCCAAACCACGGTTCATTCTTTGCTTTCACAGAAAACTGGTGAAGGTCCACAGTGTCATTGCAAACTGTTGCCAGAACATAGCGGCAGGTTCCCTGGAAGTCGTAGGCCTTGCCATCAAAGGTCAGGTAGTGAGGGTCTCCAGAGGCAGAGCAGGTGCCATGTGGGTTGGGATGGCAGCCAAACTCACCCCCTACAACATGGCAGGACTCTTGAGGTCCACATGCATTTGGGGAACACTGGGCTATACCAGTTACACCATTACAGGTGCAAAAGCTCTGACATTCTTCCCCATCCCAGAACTGTTCACCAGCTTGCCGATAGCGTCCATCATGAAAGCATCCACAGGATGTTGGAGGCACACACTGGTTACCATTGAGGACAAACCCATCATTACACTGGCACCCCTCCTGGCATTGAGTGTCACAAGTGAAGGGGAAGGAGAGGCTGGGGCAGGAAGATGGACATGAAATTCCACAGAGTTCATAATGACTGTTTAATGGACAGGTTAGTTCTGTTTCGGGGCACAAAGTGAAAGAAGTAAAAAGTGATGAATATGTTAATTTCAAAGACATCTCTATCAAATGTGGTTCTAGAACTTACCACAGCCAGTTGCATTCCTCCACTGTCCCAGGGATACACTGTTATGTTGACACATCAGTGCATAATCTCGTAGGACCTCACATAGTGTTGATGCTGGATCATCAGAGCGTTGGAGGATTCCTACACATGCATCTACCTGCTGCCATGGGTTCACTGCAGCCCAGCATGAAGTAAATGGTCCAGTGTGTGAAGTAAGAACTCCACAGTACTCAGTGGAATTGAAATTAGTTGCAGAGTTACGAGGTCTGTTTTCCACGCAGTGATCTGCCAGGGAGCCATCTCGCCAACTGTCCCCAAACACCTGGGAGTCACTGACCAGAGTGCCATTGGGTGTACGGAAATCATCATGCTGGTCAGCATTGTAGTTTCCACAAAGTCCACCTAATAAACCACTGTAGACACCTGGTGCAGTGACACGGACAAAGTGAGGCCAGACAGTCTGCAG